GCTAAAAATAAAACATAGGGGTAAAATGCAGTTTTTGGCTTGTAACTCAAAAACCAAAGCATTTGGAGCAAATCTGACATGAAGTAAAATTGTTTATCAGGTCAAGATCTATCTGCCCTGAAATTTTCAGATGAATCGAACAACCTGTTGTTGGGTTGCTGCCCCTGAATTGGTAATTTTAAGGAAATTTTGCTGTTTTTGGTTATTATCTTGAATATTATTATAGATAGAGATAAACTGTAAACAGCAATAATGTTCAGCAAAGTAAGATTAACAAATAAGTCAACATGACTGAAATGGTCAGTTGACCCCTTTAGGAGTAATTGCCCTTTATAGTCAATTTTTAACCATTTTTCGTAAATCTTAGTCATCTTTTACAAAAATCTTCTCCTCTGAAACAACTGGGCCAAATTAAACCAAACTTGGCCACAATCATCATTTGGTTATCTAGTTTTAAAAATGTGTGGCGTGACCTGGTCAACCAACCAAGATGGCCGCCACGGCTAAAAATAGAACATAGGGGTAAAATTCAGTTTTTGGCTTTTAATTCAAAAACAAAAGCATTTAAAGCAAATCTGACATGAAGTAAAATTGTTTATCAGGTCAAGATCTATCTGCCCTGAAATTTTCAGATGAATCGGACAACCCGTTGTTGGGTTGCTGCCCCTGAATTGGTAATTTTAAGGTAATTTTGCTGTTTTTGGTTATTATCTTGAATATTATTATAGATAGAGATAAACTGTAAAAAACAATAAATGTCGGCAAAGTAAGATCTACAAATAAGTCAACATGACCGAAATTGTCAGTTGACCCCTTTAGGAGTTATTGCCCTTTATAGTCAATTTTTAACCATTTTTAGTAAATCTTAGTAATCTTTTACAAAAATCTTCTCCTCTGAAACTACTGGGCCAAGTTAATTATAGATAGAGATAATTGTAAGCAGGAAAAATGTTCAGTAAATTAAGATGTACAAACACATCACCATCACCAAAACACAATTTTGTCATGAATCCATCTGCGTCCTTTGTTTAATATTCACATAGACCAAGGTGAGCGACACAGGCTCTTTAGAGCCTCTAGTTGTCCTTTATTCTTAAAATGCACTTCCAAACTTGACTCTGTGATTCATGAATTTACGAATAAATATCAATTTTATCTCTAATACGATGTATAATCTATGATAACTAGTTGACAATGTTTTCAACTATACAGAAGACTTTATGAGAGAAAATAATATATTTCAAATCCATCTTTTCCTATGAATTAGTCATAGGATAGAAGAGGGTCTGGAAAAAGGGGGGTGTTCTTCAATTCTGTATTATTTTTTTTATTTTATTTACACCATTTTTCTCTATTCTTTATAAATTTTGCTTATTGTTCTCTATCCTTTATATTTTAGAAGCCCATTATTCTCTATTCTTATATTTTTGGCCCATTATTCTCTATTCTTATATTTTTGGCCCATTATTCTCTATTCTTATATTTTTGGCCCATTATTCTCTATTCTGTAAACCCCATGCACGCCCTCATAGAAGGTGTCATTCTAACTATCTACGTCTTTTTATTTGTACTAAATTATTATGATTGTATCTCTTAATGTTAATTATTTTTTCTTTCTTTTATTTTTATTTTTTAAAACTAGTGTCTTTTTCTAAGCTAGGGTTTGTATGTTTAATTTTGCTTCATATTTTGTCATTTACAATGCAGTTTCATGTTCCCCTGCAAGTGGGACGAAGTCAAAGGGGACTTTAGGTTTGCACTCCGTCCGTCTGTCTGTCTGTCTGTCTGTCCATCTGTCAGTCCGGCAAATCAGTTTTTCAGACTTTTTTTCTTCGAGCTTGAAGATATTGATTTGATATTTGGTTTATTGATTTATCATGACAAGTTACAGGTCAAGTTCAATTTTCACGATTTTAGCTTTTCTCTTTGTTCAGTTAAAGCCCTTTCCCTAGAATTAAATTTTTGATGAAATACTTATTAATTAGTAGATTTCTGTTCAAACGGAAATAACTCATTTTTTAAAAGACTAAATGACATTTTGGATTTTTTTCCTTTTCTTTGGTAAATTGTTTGAACAATTTAGTGGTAGGTTTGTTTGTCATTCTTGAAGATATTGATTTGATAATTAGTATATAGTTTAATCATGACAAGTTACAGATCAAGTTTGAATTTTGTCCCAGTCTGATGAGTTATGGTCTTTGGACATAGAAAATTCACTTAAATAATCAGTTTTCAACAGTTTTTTTCGTCATGCTTGAAGATTTTTACATGATATTTTTATGTAGTTTACACCATGACAAGTTATAGATCAAGTTAGAATTTCGTACCATTACAATGAATTTGTAACCTGTAGGGGACTATGTATTGCCATGCAATACTCACAGAATGCTTGTTTTTCTTCATAATCCAAAACTGTGTACTTATATTAAAGTAACACGAAGGGCATATCTCCCGATTTCTAAAATTTTTGGCACACTTGTATCTTGAATCGAGTTACATCGGAATATGAAATAAAAAATGTGGGTCACCATTTTTGATTTTTTGTAATATTCATTAGAAAATGTCAATTTTGGCGACAAATTTAGATAGACATGAAGGGAAAATGCATTTTTTACTTATGTTTCTAGATTTTTCAATGGATGGCTATGTTCTTATATACGGAGAAAGACTAAAAATTAACATAATATCCAAGATTGTATACTGAATCCATACATCTTAGTTGCATGATTTTTTTATTAGTTGTTATTGGCTTTCAACTAGCTGTCAGTAACTGCGAGATCTCTCTGATCTCTCTGATCTGTACTTAGTGTCTTTTGGTTGTTGTGATGTATATATACCCATCCACGTCCTCTCTGTGTTTTTGTAAGATTTGTATCCATCTGATGAGTTAAGCCTTTTTCAACTGATTTTTATACGACCGCAAAAAAAATTTTGTGGTCGTATATTGGTATGACGTTGGCGTCGTCGTCGTCGTCGTTGTCGGCGTCGTCCGGCGTCGTCGTCGTCATCGTCCGGCGTCGTCGTCCGAATACATATTGGTTTTCGCACTCTAACTTTAGTTTAAGTGAATGGATCTTTTTGAAATTTGACCATAAGGTTAAATACCACAAAAGGAAGGTTGGGATTGATTTTGGGGGTTATGGTACCAACAGTTAAGGAATTAGGGGCCAAAAAGGGGCCAAAAATGAGCATTTTCTAGTTTCCAGACAATAACTGTGGAACGGTTTATGGATCTCTCTGAAATTATACTACAAGTTTACATACCACAAAGGGATGGTTAGGATTTGCTTTGGGGGGTTATGGCTCGAACCGTTTAGGAATTAGGGGCAAAAAAGGGGGAAAAACAAGGTTGTCCTGGTTAATGGACAAATACTTTAGTACAAAACATAATTTAAAGCAGTGTAAGGGAGATAAATCAAATTCATCATTGAAATTATCTCCCTTACACTGCTTTTAAATTATGTATAAAGTAATGGTTAATGAACAATAAAGATAATCTAAAACAGTGTAAGGGAGGTAATCCAAATACAACGTTTTGGTTACTTCCCTTACACTGCTTTTAAATTATGTTTAAAGAAATGCATATTTATAGAGGAAGACCAGTAAAAATATCTGCAAATGTTTTCATCTTTTTTTTTTACAAAAAAATCCATATGAAAGATTTGACACTATATTTTTATTAATTCTATTATAAAATAGATTAAGTTAGCACTATGGTAAATTTAAATGGGTAATTATGGTTGCCAACTCCATTGGAAATTTGAATTGAGATTATGACCATATCTTGAGGGAAAGAATTTTTTGGGGGGAAAAAGGGGGGGGGGGATAAAAAGAAATTGTGGGGGGCCAATTTTTTCTCATTTCAGATTTCAGAAATTAAAAAGAATTATTCTTCAAATATTTTTTTTTTTTCAAATTTCAAATATTGAAAAATTTCAAGAAGTAATCTTTAATTGCACAGTATGGCGCATTAGATTTGTAAAATCTTTGATCACATTTATTTATTTGTTATGCCGAATCTAACAGTGTATTTAGATTTTTAATTTTGGGTCCAGTTTTCAAATTGGTCTACATTAATGTCCAAAGGGTCCAAAATTAAACTTTGTTTGATTTTAGCAAAAATTGAATATATGAGGTTCTTTGATATGCTGAATCTAAACATGTATTTAGATTTTTGATTTTTGGCCCAGTTTTCAAGTTGGTCCAAATTGGGGTCCAAAATTAAACTTTGTTTGATTTCAACAAAAATTGAATATATGGGGTTCTTTGATATGCTGAATCTAACCATGTATTTAGATTTTTTATTTGTGGACCCCGTTATCTAATTGGTTCATATTGAGGTCAAAAGGGTCCAAAATTAAACTTTGTTTGATTTCATCTAAAATTGAATTATTGGGGTTCTTTGATATTCCAAATCTAACCGTGTATTTAGGTTTTTAATTTTGGGTCCTGTTTTTTAAATTGGTCTACATTGAGGTCCAAAGGGTCCAAAATTAAATTTAGTTTGATTTTAACAAAAATTGAATTCTTGGGGTTCTTTGATTTGCTGAATCTAAACATGTGTTTAGATTTTTGATTATGGGCCCAGTTTTCAAGTTGGTCCAAGATAGGGTCCAGTATTTAAACTTTGTTTGATTTCAACAAAAATTGAATATATGGGGTTCTTTGATATGCTGAATCTAAACATGTATTTAGATTTTTGATTATGGGCCCAGTTTTCAAGTTGGTCCAAATTGGGGTCCAAAATTAAACTTTGTTTGATTTCAACAAAAATTGAATATATGAGGTTCTTTTATATGCTGAATCTAACCATGTATTTAGATTTTTTATTTGTAGGCCCCGCTATCAAATTGGTTCATATTGAGGTCAAAAGGGTCCAAAATTAAACTTTGTTTGATTTCATCGAAAATTGAATTATTGGGGTTCTTTGATATGCCAAATCTAACCGTGTTTTTAGATTTTTAATTTGGGTCCCGTTTTTTAAATTGGTCTTCATTGAGGTCCAAAGGGTCCAAAATTAAACTTAGTTTGATTTTAACAAAAATTGAATTCTTGGGGTTCTTTGATATGCTGAATCTAAACATGTGTTTAGATTTTTGATTATGGGCCCAGTTTTCAAGTTGGTCCAAGTTGCGGTCCAAAATTAAACTTTTTTTGATTTCAACAAAAATTGAATATATGGGGTTCTTTGATTTGCTGAATCTAACCATGAATTTAGATTTTTTATTTGTGGGCCCCGCTATCAAATTGGTTCATATTGAGGTCAAAAGGGTCCAAAATTAAACTTTGTTTGATTTCATCAAAAATTGAATTATTGGGGTTCTTTGATATTCCAAATCTAACCGTGTATTTAGATTTTTAATTTTAAGTCCCGTTTTTTAAATTGGTCTACATTAAGGTCCAAAGGGTCCAAAATTAAACTTAGTTTGATTTTAGCAAAAATTGAATTCTTGGGGTTCTTTGATATGCTGAATCTAAACATGTGTTTAGATTTTTGATTATGGGCCCAGTTTTCAAGTTTGTCCAAGTTGGGGTCCAAAATTAAACTTTGTTTGATTTTAACAAAAATTGAATATATGGGGTTCTTTGATATGCTGAATCTAACCATGTATTTTGATTTTGGACATTGGACCATAATAGGTAAATTAAAAAAATTCAAGTTCTTAGACCACATTCTTTTGTGTCAGAAACCTATGCTGTGTCAAATATTTAATAACAATCCAAATTCATAGCTGTATCAAGCTTGAATGTTGTGTCCATACTTGCCCCAACTGTTCAGGGTTCGACCTCTGCGGTCGTATCAAGCTGCGCCCCAGCGAAGCATTTTATTATAGTTTGTACATATGTCACCATCCTTGTTTTTTAGATACTTTGCTCTAGAGTTGACCGATACGCTTAGAATTTGACAGAAAACTTGTGACGTTACTGAATACAGAAAAGCGTAATTTTTATTCAAAAGTACTGAAAAAAAATGTTACAGGTCTGAATGGTGTTTGTTATTTTATTTTCATCCCCCCTGTCGTAAGTTTCCTAATAATTCAAAATAACATTCGACGGAGTTCATTTTATTTCGTCCAAACTGTGTGCACTTTTAGCTTTTCAAAACTGGATCTTCAACTTAACCCTACCAAACTAGACAATGGTGATGTCACCAATGTATTCATGCATGAATAAAATAAAAAGCTTCAAACATTTGATTTGGTAAACAGTGATGTTGAGGTAAAATATAATAATTTGAATTGATTGATTGCATGATGGTTGCCTAACGTCTGGTGGCAAATATTTCATGTATTTTCAGGACGATACAATACAATTTAAAATAGTTGCGTCTGAAAGACACATTTGATGCACCGTCAAGAAAGCTTAAACATTCTGTTAGTTGTGAAAATTATAAAGAAAATCAACATCCTGATAAAATACACATTCTAAATATAGGATACTCTGTATGATGTAAACGTGTGGGTTGTGTGCATCGTAAGTCGGACAAACCTTGCAAACTGTATGCAAAATGTCAATTAAATAGACCAAGTTCAACTTTCTGTCGTTCTTGAAAAATTATTAGAAAAAATGATCCTGAGATTATATATGCACCCTCAATATAGGTGAAAAAAACATACTCGGAATATATTATCAAAATGCCTAATTCAGCAACCTGTCATAAAAAAAAGAAAATCTGGCAAGATGCGCATCTTTAGTTCTTTAGTATATGTACTAACACCAGGTAAATCATTATAAAGTTTAAGCTTAAAAAAAGTAGTCCTAAGAAATCAACCGTATAAACCTGTATTCCAAGTGCGGGACGGACTGTCCAACGGACACGGGTAAAACAATATGATCCCAGCATTTTGTCAAGGGAGCAAAATGTATATTAGCATATATAATACAGTCAAGGGTCTAACTTAAATAAGTTATTAGAGAAAAATAACATACATGTGTTATTACAGATACTTTCATGAGTTGTCTGCTCTTTATTTCTTAATCTATAGTAACATATGTTTGTTATTAGTTAATATATCAAATTATATTTTTATTTTTAGTGGGCTCTTGGGATTTCTTGAAACTTTGCGCAGAAACTTAATGCATAACCTTGATAATTAATTTTCCAATTCAATTAATACATTTTTGATCAACCATGGTAAAACAATGAGACAAGGCTTTTTTGGGATACACTTAGCTGTAATAACAAGGCTTAGTTATTACAGGCATGTAACTTATAAAATGACACACTTGGGAATTACTGGGAAGCTTGCGCAGAACCTCATTAACCCCCAAGGGTGACTGGGGAATAGAAGTTTGGTCACCATTTGTCTTCCTCCGACCGGCAGTAAAACCCTTGCTAAAGTGGGGCGTCCGTTTGGCTGTGCGGGATGTACAAATATGCAGCCACGTCCATTCAGAATGGAGATGTTAAATCCGATGCCTCGTGTAACGAGAGTGCCACGCTCCTTGCACGTTAAGAACCCTTGCAACAACTCTTTGAGGGGTCCGTAGGTGACCTGTTGCAAGGCTAAATTTCTGTCCCTATCCAATATACCCTCATCTCCCTTGGCAGTCTAAATATCTCCGACCTTAATCCTGGACGCCCCTATTACAGATCCTACCTATTGTATTTATTGTTAATTTGTTCTCGTCCTGAATATGCATGAAATATTTGCCACTGGACATTAAGCAACCAACAATCAATCAATCAATCAATCAGAACCTAATTACTTACTCTGATCATTATTTCTTACAATGAATTAAAATACATTGTGATATATGTCTGCAGAGAAATGGCTTTGAAGAGATGTAGAAAAGCTATAATAACACCCTTTAGTTATTACAGGCATATATTTTCTGTAATAACAAAGGTGTACTATACATGATTGGCAAATTATAAATTGTTATATCTTTCTAAAGTTTAGTATATATAAAGACAATAATAATACCAATAGAACTTGTATACAATTTAACAAAGTAAAGGATGTATATTGCCTCTTTGAAACATGTAACATACATATGTTATCACAGTTTTTTTTATATTTTAGCCCACAATAACGACATGTATGTTATTTTCTCTAATAACTTATTTAAGTTAGACCCTTGACTGTAATAATATTCTATTTTATAAATCATTTGGTGACAAAATATCTTTTTGAATATTTAATTCATAGTGGAATGGTAATTGGGAGATCTCAAATGTAGCAACGTAAGCTAGCTATCATCTACGTCATTTGGTCTTTGATGGAAAGTTGTTTCATTGGCAATCATACCACATCTCCTTATTTCATAATGGTTTGAGTTTTCTCCTGAAATACAAGAAGTTTAAAGACTAACAGATACGTACTAGCTAGAAGACTGAAATATGTTTCTGTTATAGCTAAAATCTGACTTTTGTTGTGAACATGTGATGTTATAATTTGATAGATTTAATACTTTCTATATAAATATACTTATTAACTTTCCGGATCAATTCAAGGGACCAACGAATCTTTACTTAACCTACAGATTAGCAGTAAAAAAATACTCCATCCTGCATTAGTCACGTGTTGTCTATATGTCTTTGGTTTTGTGTGTCGTTAATTGGCCAGTTGCTTTTTTATTGTATATCCCACATTTTCATTTATGCACACAAAGAAATAACAACCCTTTTAATTTACATAAACACTTGTATACTTGTTTTAAAAACTCCTTATAAGACTGCGAATTCGAATACTCTCGGGCTTTTCCCGACGCCTATGTGAGCAATATGCCCATCCACCAAAAAGGCACCTTTGCTAATCGTCTGTGAGTCGTTTTGTCTCCCCACTTTGTGAAAAGGTGCGTTTTTTTACCAGCTGTACCATGCCCGTACATCATGTCCAACTCAAAACACCAAAAACACACCCATCCCTGAAGAGAGAAGTGCAAATTAATATGAATCTAAATTCAAAATGATTTTAAGATCTTGTTGGATTTTTGTCCCCCGTGCGACGCGTTGTGGGGGACATAGAAATACTGGGCGTCCGTCCTTCCGTCCAGTCTTGTTAGATCTCTCCCGTGTACAATTCTTGCAAGATTTTTATAAAACTTATATATTAGGTTTATATCAAAAGATATATTTTTCAAAGTATTAACACATTTTCATGAATACAAATTGCATGTTTAATTACAGAAATGATCCCGATGTCTTTATCTGACATATTCTTGGCTTGCGTAATTGGTATATTGTATATTATCAATGTCTTCAGAACGTCTGGATTTTATTATACACAATTAGCGCTATTAGATCAATTTTGTTAATAAACACATACGGTTTTCATTTTAAGGAACCCTGTTGTGCTGAAAGATGAACAATTTCACAGTCAGGAAATCCCTTCATTTACATACAAGTGACACATTTACCACCTACTAAGGGATAGTTGATTCATGCTCTTTGTGAATTGTATTATTAGACATTTTCAATTGTTTACATAAAAATTCTGATAAAATACTAGTGTATTTTCAAATTATAGGATCATGTAAAACACACGCCTTGGCTCAATTTATATTGAAATAAGTAATTATTATTCTCTTGTTTAAAATGGGAAAAGATCACAAATAAGCAAAAACTAAACAAACTTTTTTCCAAGTCCACTCCAAGATTGGTAGACTTTAGCTTAGGTTGAGAAAATGTACCGTTTTTTATCAATTTGATCTTAATTTATTCCAGTTCATTCCTAAATGACATCGTTGTTTTCATATTTTGAAGTACAAAATGTAATGCTGCTTACAATTTAGTACAGTGTTATTATAATAGTGCATCTATTCCTACACCTGACATTCATGTAGTATTTGCAGCTGGACTTTTACACAAATCAATCCATCAACCAATTTATCATGTGTCTATATATGCTATAAAAAATTATAAGTTTACTGTTACAATTCATCGTCTTAGTTAAAGTTTCCGTTCTGATACAAGCATACTGAATTGTAAACCCTGCTGTAAGGAAAGTTATGTTATAGATAATGCATATTTTAAGGTTTTTCTTGTCGTATAACACACCGAGGGGTGTCAGGATTGATCAAATGAAAGACCAACCGGAGGGCAATCCTGACATCCCGAGGTGTGTTAATTTTTTACGACAAGAAAAACCTCAAAATATGCATTATCTGACTTACATACCGTAACAAAATATTATTTTCTGCAAAGATTTGCAAGATTTCCATCATATTTTACCGACCACACTAAAGTGGGATATTCTTTTCTGATCCGTACTGGTTTTAATATGCCCTATGGCTCATTTGAAACATGAAATAAAACTCACTAATTAATCTAGATATAATAAGCTTTAGCAATCTGTATCCAGTTACAAAAAAAATATCACTAAATGCATGAAGTTAGACACAAATGAATTGTTACGGTGTATGTTACTTTGTAAGTAATTTATTTTCAACTTATTTTAAGAAAGGGGTTTGCTATGTTTTTTCTATTTTTTCGTGACATTTTCATCGCGGAAAAGCAGATTATTTTTCAACAGTTTTTAACGAGCAGTTCAGAATTATTGTTTTCACTTTTGAAGGACATTTTTTTAAACAGAGAACTTAGTCAGAATTAAATATCATACCCCCCCAAACCCTATCATAAAGCACATGGCAATTTGATCATTTGATAGAGTAAAAGGTATAGGTACCTATAGATGTAATAAATTCAGAAGTGACACGAATAGAGCACGAAATACTGATACATGTACATATAACACGAAAAACGAATATCCATAGGTCAATGTATGATTTCCAATACAGTGTGACTCAATACAATTTTCAAAATCCTACACATGAATTTGTTAAATATGGTTTGTTATATTAGTGTTATGAAGGGTTTTGCATTATC